AATAATGTAATGAAACTGTAATGGTACTGTACTTTTTTGTGAAAATCAACTTATTCCTAGAAAATAAATTCTCCTCCATTGGTCCAATATACTACGAATATGGCTCGATGGTGATCATTTACGAGGACTCGAACAAGGCAGTCACGGCGTTGTATACGTTGAGAGAATCAAAATACGAGGACAAACATCTTTTAGGTATTTCTTAGCTATTCTTCAACGAAGACCTAGTAGTAGAAGCTATAAAACATCTTAAATATTTCTGTCACTGTTGCAGTTATGCTGTTACCAAGTATCGAGCCAAGCATGGTGCCTCCAGGTGTGCAACCTTTACTCGTCTTCGTGAACGTGAAATCCGGCGGTTGCCAGGGACTGCAATTGATCTCCAGCTTCCGGAAACTTTTGAATCCGTACCAAGTGTTCGATCTCGACAACGGAGGTCCACTCCCTGGGTAACAGAAACAAAAGATCACCGTTCTTCCGAGAAAATGTCCATCCGACTTAGTAGAAAGAAGCTAGATAGAAATTGAAATTGAAAATGAATTACAGAAAAAAGAAACAGTATTTCGGTGGAACCTAAATTTCTAAATTTTTCTGAATGAAAACAAAAAGGTGAAAAAGGTATTTGATTCTGTTGCAGCCTCTACGTATTCCGTCACATAAAGAATTACAAAATCTTGGTTTGCGGCGGTGATGGAACGATAGGATGGGTGTTACAATGTTTGGACAATGTGGGTCAGGACAGTGAGTGTTCCTCGCCTGCTTGCGCCATCGTGCCTCTGGGAACGGGCAACGATCTGGCGCGCGTTCTGTGCTGGGGTTCCGGCTACACCGGGGACGAGGATCCTCTAAATCTACTGCGAGATGTGATCGACGCGGAGGAATCCTTGCTGGACAGGTGGACCGTGGTATTTCATACAGAGGAGAAAGAAGACAAACAGTTGGCCACCAATTCAGGAGGTAGTTTAATTAACACGTTAAATTAACCCTTTGCGGTCGTATGTCTGCTCTCAGCCACCACAGCAAGGAAGACATTCTAATCTTATACTGTATTCATCCATGTATCAATTTACACTTTCTCTGAACGAACCTGAATGTCTAAAGAACCTATTCA